ATTTTATGTGGACAGGAAATGTGAAAGTCACTGATGAGTGTTCAGGATCTATTATAGATTCCAGCACAGAGCCTATACTCAAAAATGCTTCATAAATGCGTAAATAACCCAAGGCAATCAGCACTGATATCATTGTTATTATTGTTATTTCAGTGTGGGGATTCAACCCAGGGTCTCTCAGGTGCTAAAGCAAATGCTTAACCACTGAGCTCTATCCCCAGACCTAAAGCAGTGATTCTTACACTCGACTTCACATTAGTCAGGTTACTTGTATGAATCTCAAAGTTGGTATGTTTTATTAACAAATAAACAAGAGTGAAGTTTTTCTTTTACATTCTTTTCTATGATGTATGACCTTTCCCTCCAACATTGATGGACTTTTCTTTCTAGCTTTCTCCATTCTCCCAGTGTCTTGGGTGCTATAACTTCCCTTTATCAAAATTCTAACCACTTGCACTTCTAAGTGAATTTAATCCCTCATATCTCTGTCCTTAGTAGCATTAAGATATAAATGGATGCACTTTGAGACCATAAAATTAAGTGAAATAAATAAGATCCACAAGATTAAAGACTACATGCTTTCTCTTATTTTAGAAACCCAAAATATAAATAAGTAGCAAACCAGAAGATAGAGAATAGAAGTAGATGTCTTGCAAATGGGAAGGGGACCAAGAGATGTAGGGAAGAGATGCAAAGAGAATGAAAAGAAAATTGAGATGTGTCATATACATGTACCAACTCCCTATGAGGAATGGAAACATTTTGTACTGCAGACATGTACTAAAAAAAGAGATGCATCATTGTTTGTAGCAGAAAAAGGCTTGCTCTTTATTAAACCAGCTGGTGGGTTGAGGGGAGGACCTATTTTAGAGGATGAACTTGGAAACTCACGCCACCTAGGCAGATGGCCACTCTCTCTGCCCACATGGAAAGTCTCAAAGTACTGGCAACAAACCCCCTACCCCAGTAGACCAAGACCCTAAATGCATTCACACTGGAAAGATTGACATTGTACTTAGGTAGCATTTTGGAAAAATATTTTATTCCTATTTTAAACATTTTATTTTACTGTTTTTTTCATTGTGTGGCCCTGGGGATAAAACCTAAGAGTCTCTCTTGTGCTAGGCAGGCACTGCCCTACTGAATTACATGCCCAGCTTCACTTTGCCTACTTTTTTTTTTTTTTAGTGAAAAAACTTGTTTATTTATTTTTTAAATTGAGTTTATTGGTACATTTTAGGTATACAGTACAGTTACATTCATTATTTGGATCTTGTACGTTTACATGACAGGTCTTGGTTCACATTTTTTCCCCTTGTCCTTGTCTACTCTAAAGGTTCTACAACTCACAATTCATGGAATACATGGTCTAGGTATCCCAGTAAACTAAATGTGTCCAAATTATTTTTACACAACATGTACAGTACTATGAACAACCACTGATTCCATCTGTATGGCATTACAAAAGCACTTTAAGTATCTCACACAAAAGGTTAAAAGAAAAAAAACAGCTACAACTAGTTCGGAAAATAGAGAGGATTGGCTTCGGTTTAAAACACTGCTTGACGCAGGTAGTGCTGGGTCACCTTTCCCTGCCTTCAGGGTTTCATGAAAACAGATTGCTCCATACAAGGATCACTTCTGGTAAGGGAATCAGGCCAAGTTTTTACAGAAGATGTATCCTTTCCAACATGACCAGTGCTAAGAATGGGAGTTTGACCTTGTGTGTGAGTGTGTGTGTGTGTGTGTGTGTGTGTGTGTGTGTGTGTGTGCATGCTCAGGGTAGAGGAGGCAACGGGAAGAGTAGTTTTACAATGCAGACAAATATACTAAGCTAAATTGTTTATTACTAGAACTAAGAGGTTGCTTACTTATTTAGGTTTTGGCTTTATGGAGAAGTCTAATAATAATATGGAAAAGAGAACACTACATATCCTGTATAAAAACCCCAGAGAATTGTGTTTGAATTTTTCTTCTCAGTTAACTTATTCCTTAATCCAAAAGCCCAGTACAGTCATGACAGGAGCAGACTGGGGATCACAGCTAAGGTACATGCAATCTCTGAAACCCAATAAGCTAAGACCTAGAGAGGTGGAATGATGTGGGGAGAAGTCTGGGATGGAGGGTAGGAGACTGCCACAAGTAGCTCTGGGATTCTGGGCAGATCTGTTTTCTCCTGGGGTCACAGTTTCCTTTTCTGTAAGTTAAAGTGTGGACCCAGCGATAGCTAAGGTTCGTTCTAGCCCTAGGATCAAATAAAGCTAAGCAAAATGAGGGGACTAATATTCTAGGATGTCATTTTCATATTAAAGAAACATACTCATCAGCTTGTATTTATATAGTCAGAGAAACGCTGCTACTAACTGATTTTGAGAGAATAAGTAGGTGACTTTCTAAAATAAGCACATACCAACTGGCAGGGGTCCTACCGAGCGCTCTAGATAAGGTAAACATCTCTATGAAAGTCCTTGAGTCAAAACTGGCACACACACACACACACACACACACACACACACACACACACACACAAAGACTAAGGTAGAAACCTGCTGGATCATTTTTGGTAAGGATTCTGTTTAGGCTTTGCCAGTCCATTTCATGGTATTTTTGGGGGGGATATTTTCCCATATTGTATGAGAACAAGGTCAAAGGCTCTTAAATTCTTTTCTTCTGATCTTACTATACATGTGTGACCCACATTTCTTCTATGTCTCTTGCAATGGTTTAGATACTGAGATCAGTCCTTTAGGTACTAAGCATTACTAACCAAAAATGTAGAAAACAAATACCACATGTGTATATTGTAGGGATTTCATCTGGGACATTTCCTATAAAAGTCAAGTTGTCTTTCTTTTCTTTCTTTCCTCCAGAGCTGGGAGAACTGAATCTAGGGCTTTGTTACTGAGCTGTATGCCAGCGTCCCTATCCCACTCCTTCCCTCCTCTCTCCTTTCCCTTCCTCTTTTTTCCCTCTCTCCCCATCTCTTCCTCTCTTCTTTTCCCCCCTCCTTTTTCTTTGGAGACAGACTTTACATAGTCGCTAAGTTGTCCAGACTGGGATTCAGTTTATGTTCCTCCTGCCTCAGTCTCTCAGAGTGTTAGGATTACAGGCATGTACCGCCATGTCTGGCTAGGTATTTTGTATTTCACTTAAAGGAATGTCCTTGTTCCCTCCCTCCCTCCTTCCCTCCTTTCCTCTCTCCCTCTCTTCCTGCATGCCTGCCTCCTTTCCTTCCTTGCAGGTACCAGGGATTGAATTCAGGACCTTGCGCTTGTGAGGTAGGCGTGGCACCATTGAGCTAAATCCCTGGCCCTCCTCCTTTCAATTAAGTCTCCAACTACTACTTTATTACTTCAAATCTTTATCTGTTCTGTATTTCTATGATTTTGTTTACCATTTTAGAGCATAAAGAATACTACTTTCAAATATGTGTATTCATTTTACATAATGTCATAGCCACTCATATAATTTTCCCAATCTTCCACAATTTAATAAAAAGCCATTACCAATATATTTTATCAGATTTCTTCTAGTACATTAATAATATTTTTATACATTCTATATTTTAATAAGATATCAACATTAGTAATTTTTCATTCTGTAAAACTATTTAAATTTCAATAACTGATTTATTTCCATCCTATAAACGCAATTAGATTTTCCCTAATTACTACCCAAAGCTCAAATATTTCAAGATTAAAAAATATTTTGTATCATTAAGACTAGCAATTCAACACAAATATGGAGAACAGAAATAGGTTAATTTTTACTATATTTGCAGTATTACTATACAACATATTCTAGGGTGGTTCTCAATGGTTTCTTTCAGCTTATGATGGACTGCATCAAAATAATTTTCTGAAATGCAAGGCCATCTGCTTTACTGTTTTTTATCAATCTCAGGGTTACCAGAAGCTCTGGAGTGAGAAGGGATTGCTTGTCAGAACAGTCAGTGACTTAAGAATCTCATGAACCTGCCCAACTTTCCGAATCCTGCTAGTTCCTTGCCTCTCCTATGCCTACTTAACATGCATGAAAGATAACTTTGCAGCCAAGCGGATCCAAGAACAAGTGCAATTCAAGCACATGGGTTAAATTCTGTAACATAGACATCCCACCGGGAAAGCAGTGAAATTTCAGGTGAAGTGGACACAGGTGGGAGTCAGACCAAACTGTGGGTCAGAGCAGGGAGTAGAGACTCAAAGGGTGCTTAGGTTCATTCTGATCAGTTATCAGGAATGCCTTTCACCCTTTTGGTTGTTAGTACCTATCTTATTTTTAAAAGTCTGATCCGTGCTGATCAAGTCTGGAAGTGACGTAGGAAATGCAGGAGGCTGGTGATAGGAAGAGGAGAGCACATTATAAGTGAGATCTATACATCTCACTCACAAGGTATCTACAGGGATGAAAATTTGGAAAAGATTTTGAATTCAATCATTTTTTTCCTGGTAAATTAATGTGCTTTGACAGGCAAGGAACAATGTGATTTTATGGTTTGAGAAACAACTAGTAATAAGGTGTCACAAAAGAAAGTCTTTCCACCGAAACGTTTAGAAACTCTTGTCTATTTAGAATACTTCTGATTTCAAGTTAACACACCAAAGTTAACACCGTCAATATCAAGCAAATTAAGAAATGACGAGGCACATTTTCCTCCCAGATTAATGATAAGCCCAAGGCTTTGGTCCATGTAGTCAAGATTTACCAGAAAAACAAATATTTCTTCTCGTCATTATTACTGCAACCTATGCTAATAACTTTACTCTTCACCATGACACTGATAAGTAATAACTTGATAAGCTAGAGTCTTTAGGCAATTTAATAACATTTCAAAAAGGACTTCTAAATGGATAAACATAAGGTCTTACATACAGTAGCATATTGATTAGTGTGGGCTAATTAGAACGCATGCTCCATTCATATAAGGTGCCGCCTTTGTTTCCCCAAGCTGGATTGCTCACAAAGTGCCGATGAGAATAAAAAGAGGCTCCACTGCCTACCTGACATAGAGGGAACGTTTCTGATTGGTTCGTAGGGACCCGGACCCGGAACTCATGCTGTGGTTCATCATCTGCTCTCGCAGGTCATGGATTTTGGCCTCAAATCGAGCGTAATCTGAGAATGGAAAGAGACATAGCAGATTTGGTTCTGTTCCTTCAGAGAATTAGGAATGTGCACAGCCGTGGCAGCTGCTTGTCATCATTGGTTCCTTTGCCAAGCAACAGTGAGATGCTCTAATCAAGAAGTGTGTACTTGCTTACAATTATTCACAAAGAGTCACAAAAGGAAAGCAGAAATCCATTACTTTTCAAAAGTTACCTAAAAAACATATAGTTATTATCCCCAACTTGTGAAATATCCATGGTAGATGGAGGTGGACGAATAGTGGAGAATGGAGGGGGAAAAAGATAAGTGGGTGAAGTTATAAACAGGTAACACAAGGCATCCTTGTGGTAAAGGAAATGCTCTTTATCATGGCTGGGTGGTGAATATAGAAACCTGCACTGAAATTACCAGGAACTAAATGCACACATACACACACACACACACACACACACACACACACACACAAATGAGTACAAAGAAAACTGAGATAAATCTGAATAAGGTTGAGGGATGTGCCAATGTCAATATCATGAGTATGATATGCTAGAGTTTTGAAAAATACTACTACTGGGGAAAACTGAGTCAAAAAGCATTTGGATCTCCTTGTATTATTTCCTGCAACTACATATGAATCTATAACTATCTCAAAATTAAGTCCTTAATTTTGTAAAAGAGATATTTTTTTTGAAAGTTTATTGGTACTTTTTAGGTATACAATTACATTCATTATTGGGATCTTGTACCTTTACATGATGTATCTTCGTTCTTATTTTTTCTCCATTCCCCTGCCCTCCCTTCACCCCCTCCACCCTTCCCTATTTACAGAGAATTTGTTTCCATTTTTTCCTTTTCTCATATTTTTTCTTTTCCCTTCTTTCCTTTCCCCTATACCTTTGACTCTTTTCTTCCTATTTCACAATATCAATTACACATTGTGATATTGATTTAGAGTTTTAGTTTTTCACACCAGAGAAACTATTAAGTATTTACACATGTATGTCTTATTTATTTCACTTAAGAGTATATTTCACTGAATATGCATCCATTTAGATACAAATTTCTCTAGTTTCTCATTCTTTATGGCTGAGTAGTACTCCATTTTATAGAAAAACCACATCTTCTTTATCCAGTCTCCAGGTGATGGACAATTGGGCTGTTTCCAAGTTTTAGCTATTGCAAACTGTGCCACTGTAAACATGAGTGCACATATATCACTGTGGTATGATTCTTTTAATTCTTTTGGAAAGATACCCAGCAGAGGGATGGCTGGGTCAAATGGAACCTCTAATCCTAGTTTTTTGAGGTATCTCCATATTGATTTCCAGAGTGGTTGCATTAGTCTGCACTCCCACCAACAATGGAGAAGGGTTCCTATCTCCCCACAACCCCCCACCAGCATTTGTTATTGGTTGATTTCTTTTTTTTTTTTTTTGTGGTGCCGGGGATCGAACTCAGGTCCTTGCGCTTATGAGGCAGGCCACCGAACTGCTGAGCTAAATCTCTGGCCCATTGGCTGATTTCTTGATAGCAGCCATTCTTTGTGGGGTGAGGTGTAATCTCAGCATTTTTCTCAAATGACCAGTGAAGTTGGACATTTTTTCATTTATTTATTTGCTATTTCTAATTCTTTATCTGAGAAATGTCTTCATTTCAGATGCCCATTTTTGAATCAGGTCTTTATATTTGGGGGTCTGATTTTTTAAGTTTTTTTTTTATATATTCTAGATAGTAGACCTTTGTCTGAGGAACGGTTGGTAAAAATTTTTTTCCACATTGTAGGTTGTCTCTTATCTCTGTTGGTAGTTTCTCTTTCAGTGCAGAAGCTTTTTAAAAAGATGCGATCCCAGTTGTTGATTCTTTGTGTTAGTTCCCAGACTACCAAGGATTTGTTCATAAAGTCTTTGCTTATGACAATGCCTTTGAAAGTTCTACCTATCTTCCAAGAAGTTTAGTGTTTCTATTGTAATATTTATATTTTTAATCCATTTCAATTTTAATTTAGTACATAGTGAAAGGGGACTAGTTTTAATCTTTGGGAGGTTGAAATCCAGTTTTTCCAACTCCATTTATTAAAGAGGCTATCTTTCCTCCACTGAGGATGGTTGGCTCCTTTGTTAAAGATGAGGTAGCTGAGTATGTCTAGAGATGTTTCTACATTTTCTAATCTATTCCACTGATCCTTGGGTCTGGTTTTTTGCCAGTACCATGTTGTTCCATCGCAGGGGCTTTGTAGTATAGTTTTAAGTTGGGGATTGTGATACCCCCTGTCATATCTCTGTTGCCTAAAATGGCTTTTGCTATTCTAGGTCTTTTCTGGTTCCAAAAGAATTTTTGGATTGTTTTCTCATGTTCTGTGAAATATACTTTTGGGATTTCAATTGGGATCACATTGACTCTGTATAGAAGTTTTGGAAGTGTAGCCATTTTCACTGTGTTTCTTCTTCCTACTCAAGAGCAAGGGATGTCTTTCCATTTTCTTATATCCTCTTTGATCTCTTTTTTTCAGAGTGCTGTAGCTTTCAGTATAGAGGTCTTTAGCTTTCTTTGTTAGACTGATTCCTAGATATTTCATTTTTTGGGTGCTATTGTGAAAGGAATTGTTTGTCTAATTTCTCTCTCATTGAGTCTGCTATTTGTGTACAAGAAGGCTACTGATTTTTGAGTGTTGATTTGTGAGGGTTTTTTTAAGTCCATAGAATTACCAATATTATGGGCCTTGAGAGTAGTATCTTTGGTCTGCCTTACACACCAGAGAATCAAGTGTTTGATGGAATTGAGGAAGAAACATCATTTAACTTAATTATGTTCTCTCCCACGCCTATGGGCCACTAGAAATTGACCACTAGAGTTCACACCTTAATTTACCCCATAACTTTATCCATATACCAAACTTCATCAGTTCTAAGATGCACAATATATTTAAGCCGGCTTTTAGAAGGTTGAGGTTAAAGCACATTATCATATAAAATATGTTGTAGAAACATTTGAACTTCAAAAAAATGTATGGTTCTAAAAAATAAAAAAAATGGGCATTACAGCATGAAGCATAAAAATATTTTGTCATGCCACTCAATAAAGTAAGCACAAATAGATGTTAAGATATTATTAACAAAATTAGCCTGCAATAAGAAATAGTTTTTGAAGTTTTGATATTCCTGATCACAATCTATAAATCATTGCCTTGTCTGAGATATGTCTTGCCTTAGGAAAATCTAGTATGTGAGAAGCTTAACTTACTTATTTGCAGATAAATTTGAAAATGTTAATTCAAATTATAAATAGTTATTTTAAATTACAAAGAAACTCACCATGAAGAATTTTAAAAGAGATCCTCAGCACATTTCAAAAAACAATTTGACTTTCAATTCATTTTTTTCACAACTTTTCATGAAAACAAGGATAACTCAATTAATATAATAAAAGATGATCTATTTAGTGTTTCAAATTCTTAATAAACAGTTCCATGAAATTAGATTAAATTTCAGTTTGCTAGATATTGGTTATTACAGGATAGGCTTTTCTAAAAGATTTTATATTAATTTTCAACAACAGATAATGGGATAATAAATTCTAAAGATTTATGGTGCTTAAGCAAAGGCTAACATTATCTACATTTGGAAGGCTTCCCATAAAACTTAGCTTTGAATAACTAAGTCCTAAATGATCAAATAAGCAGAACATATATTTAACCTAAAATCAGCCATAACTTAAGACAATTTATGTCATTCCATTTTACTAGCAAGAGAAAACATTTATAAGCATTGACACGATCCTGCATTGCAGACTTAAATCATTTTGAGCAAGTCATTTTTTTTACTACTCAAAAAGAGTCAGTTAACATTTATTGCTGGCCACATGGCAGACACTATGCTCAATGCTGCATGAGCGGCATCTCATTTCTTTTACAGATTACAAAATGAAGTCCATGAGTGTTGTAAAATTTTGAACTATGTAGAAAAACAATAATAAAGCCTTGTCTGTGGTTGTATTCAGGATGGATATATGCACACATTTGTGTTTGTGCAAATATATATACTTATGAGACCAAATCTGTATCTTTTTTCCCTTTTTAACAGTGTAACTTGGATTTTTTCTTTCTTTCTATCAAATACAAATCATTTTTGTTAATGCCCTCACTTGTAATTTGTATTTAGACTGGAGTATTTAACAATTCCCATATCATTAGATATCAGGCCTGTCCAGTTTTCAGCTTCACAAGCAAGGATCTCTATTTGTGCACATTTCATGGTGGGTTAGTGGAACACCACATTGGAAGTACCGTCAGCACTTCGCGTAAAAACCACGTATCCCATTAGAACTTCTCAGAGCAAACAATGATCTGGTCTGGATCACAGAAGAGAAGCTCTTAGCTTCCTCTGATCCATCCTCTATACAGCTACTTACTAAAGACTATGTAGCACCCCTGAGGACCCCAAATCTCTCTCTGGAGGAAAGGGACAACTCTGATGGCTTCACTACCCAGGAGAATGGAATTTTACCCTCCCACAGCCCTTCTCCCCAAGCGTCTGATTCAGCCAGTCTCCAGCCCTGTGCAGCCAGTTTGGTCCTCCCTTGGATTCTTCCCCGGCACCTGCAGTTATCCGCGCGTCAGCCATCTTCCCACTAGACGGAGCTCTCTTGGGGCAGAAGCCATATCTCAACCTCCTTGGAATTCTCTGCTCCTAACATAGTTTCTGACAGACAAGAAACTTTTTTTTTTCCAGCTTTAATTGAGTTTATTGGTGCATTTTAGGGATACAGTACAGTCACATTCATTGTTGTGATCTTGTACCTCTACATGACAAGTCTTGATTCTCATTTTTTCCCCTTACCTCTGCCTTCCGACAAGAAACTTTTTAATAGGTGCCCAGTAAATATTTTCTGAATGAATGAATGATGAAGAAGGTGCATAGAATGAGTAGGTCAGTTTAGTTATAAAATGGCTGTGGGCCCTGAAATTGTCCATTTTCAACGTTATGTTTTGCAATGCAGATAACACACATCTCCTC